ACGTGACTTTCATTTGTTACCTCAAAAAGTAAAACAAAATCAAGTAAGTTGGGGATATGATGGTTAAGTTTACAAAATTTTATCAAAACCTGAGTAATTATCCAACATATGAGCGCTTAAAAAATCAGAGAATAGTGCATCGTTTTACTCCTCCATGTAGTTTTTTTTACAGTTCAAATCAGCTTTGCAAAAGGATTTGTTTAAACAGAGCCTGTTTATTACAAATCTACACTCTTCACCTTCTTTCGAATACCTGAGTAACTTGGATAACGCAGACCTTGTTCTACTCTAAAATAAGCTTCTTTTCATGCAGACTTGTCACAAAATTGTGCTTCAACGGTAGTAGATTGTAAAGTTGTAATTTCATACACCGCTTTCCTTCCCCTCCCCCTTCCCCTTCCCTTCTCTTTTTTGCCTCACCTCTCCGCTGCAGCTTCTAATCTCGCTTTATGTGCAATCTACAGTCCGAAATAATATTGTCTAGTTATGATGGATGACTTTAACTTTGCCAATGCTGGTGGTGGTGTCGTCTTCGAAGGTGCTCCTGGTATAGCAGGTCCAATGCCCAATAGCCCCGTAGAGCTTCCGCCTGTGATGGAATCTGGAGCGTTTTCTATTGCACCCATGAAAATTCGCAAGGAATTCCCTGAAATCTGGATCGCCATTTCTTCCTATACAGAGTGGGTAGCATGTTAGATATTTTGACATTTATGACAAGATACACGATTTTAATAGTGAGCCATCAAGTGCTTAGGCAGACGCTTAGTAAAAGGGGTTTCGCAGAAAATCCCCTTTGCGAAGTTAATGGATCGAAAAAAAGATTAAGGCCTTACAGTTGTATTATGGATCTGATAGAAGGGTCAACTTCAAATTTCGCTGAGCTTCATTTGAATCAACATTCAGCTCATGTAGGGTCTGTAGCAACTCTGCTTTAATTTGTTGTACTCGGAGATGATGTGGAGGCTTATAGGTACGATCTGTCTAATGTGTATAAACCAGAGTATTTGCTGCCCTACGGCAGGTAAATTGTGGAGCCAGTGCTGTGAAATTCACTTTTCTTCTCAGGTATCCTTGAAGTGTACATTTTTGATGAGTGAAGTCCACTCACTGGCGTTGTCTGAGGACTTTCTGACAAGCCAAAGGTGAAAGATTTTGACTCCTTGATGGGATTTTTTCTTGATGCGATATAAACATCCATGTAGATATAGGTAATTCAAGCATTTCTACGCGAACAAACTTCCAAACTTAACCTGTGTATGCCTTGGCATGCTCCTTTATTCAATGCATTAAAAGTTTGCAAGGCTTGAAGTTTTCATAGTACTCAGCCTTGTTGCTTGACTGCTCAGCATTTTGTCTTGTCATTTGTACAGTATAAAGCTGAATTTGATTAGCTAGGAAATGAATGTTATGCTACTTTCCCAATCTGCGGTTGTTTATTAGATGCAATTTATCAAGCAGAAACATACTTGATGTTTTGCGTAAAGGTCAAAAATGATTTGCTTGGAAGGAATATGCCTTTCTATTGCAGCGGTCCTCATCCTGCATTTCGCAGATAACAATTATCTCAAACATCCTTTTAAATATATTTTCTACTCGTGCTTGCACCGGAAGCAGACCTGCTCTCGATACACAGATTTATAAACCGAATTGCATTAAAGTCGGTGGTAAAAATAGCGGGTTCAACCATTCAAATGCAATAATTGAGCCTTATTTGCTTCTAAAAAACTTGGTTATGACTTGTCTAGGTTTCTAATTCTGATATTTTTCTCTCGTTTCGATCTTCCCCATAGCCTCCTTTTGGTTGCTTCCTATTCGGTGAACTGACACAATCAAGAAAGTTATCTCTAGTTTGGTGGTGGGACGAACTAGAGTTCAGCGGGTTTGGCGCTATTGCGGTCTTCGGACCACCTGTGCCGGCTCCACCGGCGTGGGATGGTGCTATGGAAAAGGGAGGTGCAGCATTTGGTGGAGGTTCAGATGCGTTTCAAACTGTGACAATTCGCACCGAATTCCCTGAAACATGGATCGTCATTGCGACTAATACAGAGTACGTGCATTATAGAGGCGACTCAAGTCATTGGTAGCTTCAGCAGCTTTGATCTTGGAGTGTTATTGCCAACGAAATTGGATTCATGTGCTTGTATAAGTGGTGAGATCAAATACGTTTTGACTCACAACTAATCTTACACTCTTCCCTCACTATCCTCCTCTCTATCAAACATCTCAAGCACATCCATTTCTAACAAAATAATCTACTATTCTACCTTTCTATTTCCTTTTTCAATTGTAAAAGCACAAAAAAACGTTTCCTCAGAATTATGCACTACTTATTATCAAAAGAAATATTTGGTTAATGGTTATATATGGAGGAACATCAAGAAACTGCGACAGCTCGCGTTGCCTATAATGCCATCCCTTTTCAAATCGACCTGGCAATGCATCAAAACTACAGTGCACAACTCAT